AGCATGTAACACATTAACCAGTTCCCCAGAGCAGCAGCCGCCCTCACACAGCAGAACAGACGTGGCCTGGATCTTGCTTTGCCTGTGCTGGTTCTTGTTCCAGGTCAAGTTATTGGCACATCTAGATCAAATTATTGCTGTTTGATGCAGTCCTTCCTGGTTTCATTACATGAAAATCCACGATGGGTGATGTTGTATCATAGAGGGAAATTTCTTTTTGACTGCCATCTGTACTGTAGTTACCTTGGTCTGCAGCTGGGGGATCAATAGCTCTGGCAATTATTACCTTTGCAAGTGGCAGTAGAATATCTGTCTTACTTATAGTCCTAACTCAAACTCCAAAGAATGGAGGTCTGTGTTAGAGGATGTAAAGCATAATTTTCAGATTAAAAAGGGTGCGGGAGAAAATTATTATCTGTCTGTCCTTCCCCTCTCTTACTATCATCATCAGAAGTTTGGTGAGCTCAGGAACTTTGGAGTTAAGAAATCCAAGTGCAATGAGATAACAAACCTTCATTACAGACCTCATTCTGCCCTGCAGTGACCTGCATGGGAAAGGAGAAGATAGTAGTGCACGTCCAATTTCCTTGGGGACTGCACAAAAGAAACACAGCCCAGGCTTGTGCTCTGCCTTCTCCATCTGATGCCTAAAGGTTGCTCTACCTGCCCAAAAGACATGTAACCCAGGAAGATCCTCAGCCTCACCTGCAGAGAAGAGGATTTGTACATGGGGTGGTCAAAGCCTTTTTGAAGATGACACTTTACATTGGTTCGAACGGGTCGGGAGCCAGACTGATTGAACACAAACCTTACAGGAAAGAGGTGCCGAACTGCACACAGCAGAGTAAGCTAGGGCTACCCTTTTGGCAAATAGCCAAAGCGGTCACACCACTCACAAGCCAGCTCCCAATCATTAGGACCTTGGTCAAAAATGTGCTGTGTAGCCAAAAACTGAAGAGAAATGTTTTCAGTCAATTGAAGGGGGAAAGATTTTAAAGGCTTGAGAATCCCAGTAGATACCAATGAACATGCACAGATACCAAACTGACTTTTAAAATCTGCCCTCAAGCTGCTTAGCCTCCATCCCATTCCCAATAGCAACCTGGGCCCCAGCAGCCTAATTTCAAGGGCCTCTGCATGGCCCATGTAATTCTGCTTGTAGGTGGTGGCACGGACAAGGCAGTGGCAATGAGTTTTCCCTCTCTCTCCTGCCATTCCTACCTGCTGTGAGTACAACTGAGAAGGCCAACCGGTTTTCTAGAGTTTTTTGACCAGATTTTAAGTGGTTACCTCTAAGGTCCTCAAGAAAACTCCTGCAAGGTGTTGGCCTATCCATGAGGAGAGTGTGTTTTAGGGATATCTTTCCTGGATTTCTCTCAGTGAATCTGAAGTTCCGTCATGTGGCATAGCTCAAAGGGACAGGTGCCCCAATTGTGCAACAAGAGCGTTAAGTATCCTGTATCTGAACCAGGAATCCCACTGCATTCACTGATAGCACCACGGAAGTGCTGGTTGGAAGGGAGCTCTGGAAGTTACTTAGTCCATCCTTTCACTTAAAGCAGGACTGCTGCTAACGCTGGATCAGGTCAGCTGTGACTTTGTCAAGTCAAATCTCGAAAACTTCCAAGGATGGAGAACCTACCATTTCTCCAGTGATCTGTCCCAGTGTCGCACTAATCTCTGGAGAAGATGTCTTCCCTCATGTCCAATCTGAACTCCCCAAGCTGCAGTTGCAGCCATTGCCCCGTATTATATCTTCTGCCCCTACCAAGAAAGGTCATGTTCCAACATCCTTGTAACTGCCTTTCAAGTATTTGTAGGCACCTATTTAATCACTCCAGCTCCTCTTGGTCAGACTAAACAAGCCCAGCTCCCCCTGTCACTCCCTGTGGGTCATATGCTCCATACTCTGACCAGTTTGGACCCTCTCCAGTTTCTCCACGTTCCTCATGAACTGGGGGTCAGCAGACCAGACACAGTCCAAGTGCAGCCTCAGAAACGCCATGGAGAATGAGGTTGTAACTGACCTCGATCTGCTAGCCATGCTCCTCCAGTATTCATTCATGGCTGCTTACAGAGTTCATCCAAGAAGAATTTATTTCCAAGAAAATCGGTATATATCAATCAATCAATCAACTATATCAACATGCTCTAGACAGAAGATTAAAAGCTCTGCCAAAGATATTTGTTCAACTGCTTTTCATGGAAATGAATATGCTTGCTTCAGATCCATTTAGTACTGTGAAAACTTGAACCCACAGAGGAGCCATGTGCATCACTAAAAGTAAAATCCGCAGCTGAAAACCCTTTCCCTTCAAAGAACAGGCAACTTTTGAGGCAACCTAATGTATTTATTTATTTTACATTTCCTGAGCATCTCTTTGGGATGACATTGAGAGGCCATGTTTGAAGAGCTCATCAGTAAAATAGTCTAGCATGCACTGCACTGTAAAATCCTAGGGGAGGCAAAGCTGTTGCACTATTTACAAGGTAAACTAGGCAAGCTCAGAGACATGCTCACCTCACCTACATGCATCACGATAACACGAGAAGCTGCTTCTTCACTAGGGTTCTCTGGTAAAGTAGCTGCTAGGTTTTTTTCTGTAGATGCTACCACCATTTTGACAAAGCAGGCAAAATCTCCAGCATTATTTCATAGGGCCTGGCAACTTTCTGGGAGTCAGGGACAGCATCTTCTTTTGATACTAAATGGATTCTGGCACAGAAAAAGTGGCTCACCCAAAGTAACCCAGACAACTGGAGATGAAAACTCAAGGGTTCTAGCTCCTAGTGCACTGCTTAAAATACTGTGGGTTTCTTGCAGTTTCTCCTGGTCTGACTGTTATAGGCATGGTGTGGTGCTTAGCTGCCTGCTGGGGTTAAACCATGACACACAGTTACTGAAAAGCAGACCTACCCTTGCTGGCAACATTCCCACCTTAAGTCCCTCAGCTCGGTGAACTCTCTATGAGGCTCAGCAGACATCCACTTAGCTGGGTATGCTAAGGTCTGTATTTTTGTCTTCATCTGCCCTGATTCCTTCATGTGCTACATCCTCTATGAATGTCAAGCCTCACATACCAGGGATATGCAATTGAAGGCATTCTGTAAATGGCAGTGTGAGGAATTTGCTGTTTCATTGCAACTGGATTGGTCAAAACTGCATTAAGCTGCTTCTTTCAACCAGGTGATGCAAGGACAATTTCAATTATTTGAAAAGAAAATTGCTGGGGGGAAACAGCAATTTTCTTTTTGGAAACAAGATCTTGTTTCTGTTTTCTCTGTGATTTCACAGTTCTTTGTACTGCTTATTTACATGTGGCACAGCAGTATCAATCCCAATAACAATCACTTCCAATTTATTTGTAATCCTCCTCGTGAACTCCTGATCTAGCATTTTCAGATGAATACTCCAGTGTTTGGATCAATTATTTTCTCGCTAGCCCTTCCCTGCTATGCACCATGCTGTCTAGTTCTTTACTTTCATATATATAGACACATTATATATACAGTAATAAGATCTCCCCTCTCCCCCTCTTCTCTAGGATAAACCGTCCCAGCTGTCTCAGCCCTTCCTCATATGTGAGATGCTCCAGTGCTTTCATCACCTTTGTGGCCCTTCTTTGGACTCCCCAGTATGTCCATGTCTCTTTTGTACTGTGGAGCCCAGAACTGAACACAGCACTCCAGCTGTGGCCTCACCAGGGCTGAGCAGAGGGGAAGGATCACCTCCCCTGACCTGCTGGCAACGCTCCTCCTAATGCTGGCAATACTTCATCTAATGCAGCCCGGGATACCATTAGCCTTCTTTGCAGCAAGAGCACATTGTTGGCTCATGTTCAAGTTAGTGTCCACTAGGACCCCAGGTCCTTTTCTGCGAAGCTGCTTGCCAGCTGGGTGGCCCCCAGCATGTACTGGTGCATGGGGTTGTTCCTCCCCAGGTGCAGGACTTTGACCTTCTCCTTGTTGAACTTCACGAGGTTCCCGTCAGCCCATTTCTCCAGCCTGTCTCTCCCAGAACACACACCTCAGAACATCTACCACTAACCTGCTGATAATAGTGAATTGGAATATGATATAAATATATTAGGATAAGTAGGATAAATTGGAAATTAATAAAATTTCTCCTCCTTTGTTGGAACAAAATCACTGGGTGGAAAAAAGAATCTTCCAGGTGTGTGGAAATACAACCTACTGTCCCACCCTTAAAGTTCACTGTGGCTTTATGCTGTTCACACTCTTAGCCTGTCTCTGCTCTATTTGAACTGAAAGCTCCTTGTAGTAAGGATTTGTCCACTGCTTCCTCTCTCTGCTGTATGAAACTTCAGAGGTAGAGAGGGAAACACGTTCTTGGTTGATTCATTAATAACACACAATTAACTGTATTCCTTTGACTCCAGAAGTCCAGCCTCTTGACTAGTTTGGTTGAAGCTGGCCTATAAAACATGGCGTGCAGCTGGTTCCTTCCAACAGAGAGAAGTAATGACATGGGTACACACTTTTGGCCCAGTGCAGTACTGGAGGTTTATTTTCACTGCAGGATTTACAGAAGTTGTAGTCTCATTTCACCCTCTTCTCTCCCACTCATAGCACTGGGATGCAAAAGGAGAGGCTGTCATTGGGAGAAGTCTGTTTATATGTTTCTGGCAGTGAACAGCAGGCTTTGTTTTCCCAGTCCTGCTGTCACCAGACAATGGAGATGCAGGGAATGGAAATGAAATCTGATGCTCAGGAATGGAGGAAAATGGCCAGCTCACCCTCACAGATCTGAAGACCCAGCATCTGCTGTGACAAAACTTTTGTTTGCCCTTATAGGATGGATAAGGAAAGCCTAGGGCAGGGAATATGTCCCAGGCCTCATCTGGTCAAAAACAGCAGTAATCCAACAGATGTGGACTGAGAATGGATCTACTACTGAGGTCAATTCACCCTTATGGGCAAGAAACCTGTCCCTGCAAAACACCTTTGTGAGGGTGTGGAAAGGGCAAGTCCTTGGTCTTGTATAGAGCTTTGGTTTGCAGGACAATGATCCACTTGTACCACTGATGAGATGGTTATGAGATGAAAATGCACATGGGATTTACCTAAGAGATTTCTCACAGATCCATGGAGCAGAAAATTCACAGCTGGAGGCCTGAAAGTGATCTTTCATCAGGACAACACAGTGTTGCACAAGGCTGTTAGAGAGGACCCTGCAAGAGACACGGAACAAAAGTGAGACTGAAAGAAAATGCTGAGATTGTCTCCTGGAGGCAAGAAAGAAAAAACATCTGATTTTGAAGGGTGGAGCCCAGAGGAAGTGAAAGAACCCAACCTCCAAAGGGCAGCTGTTAGAAAACAAAATGTACGCCAAAATACCTATCTACTTGGAGATTACACACCTAAGTAATTTTGCCACTGTGGAACCCAAATCAGAACCCAACACAGACACGATGCCCTGCAGCGACAGTGATATCCACCAGCATGAGAACAGCAGCACTGAGAGTTTCACGGAAAGATGATCACCTCCAAGGAGTTTGTAAGAACAGAAAGCTGGATTTAAGAAGGGAACTAAGCCAAGGGCTCAGAGTACTGACCTACCAACAGCGAGATCTTGGGTGAGTTTCCTTGCTGGAGAAGTGTTAGAGACTAACTCATTGTGTTAACTGCCATAAAAAGGAAAGGGCCAGGCAAAGTCACTGGACCAAATCATAATGTTTTCCCTCATGCAGAATGCTGAGTTTTGTCCAAGTAAATACTGAGCCAAAATTAAGGTTCTGACTTAGGTTGGCACCAGCAAAGCAGCGAAGGGCTGGGTCCTCGCACCCAGCGACATCAGCACTTGGCAGAATGGGTGCAAGGTGGCTGAACCCAGTAAAGCCAAGATGGACCATACGCTTTTCTGACTGAGTGACTGTGTGGGCAGTGCAGGTAAATAAACCTTGGTCTGAGCAGCTGGAGGGAAGTAGAGAGTGACATACTAACATTAGCCCTGCTTTTCACAGGTGCATGCCTTTACAAGGTGCGGGGCAGTAAAAAGTACACCCTTTTGAGTTCAGTGCCATACAGGTGACAGTAAGAAGAAAATCTGCTCAGGAAGAAAGCTCCTGAGATCTGGTGCAGGAACTCTGGGTGTTGTGGAACACCAGGTAATCTGAATCAGCACTGTTGTTTTACAGAATGAAACTCACTTGGTGCCATTGAGCATAGAGCCGTCTTCCCAAATCCAGCCAGAGCCTGTGCTGTTCCTCAGTCCAATCCAGAAACATCCTGTTTGAATGCTCTTGAACAGGTCCTAGAAATGGTGACGAATTACAAAGTGACTAATGGCAGCCAGCCTGAAAATGGAGGTAAGGATAAGTAAAGAGAACAGAGAGCAAGATACATCCCCTCGCCTGGCTGTTCCTTAAGTGGCTGACAATACTGGTTCTCCACACCTCCTAATCAGGAAGATCAGCCCCGCAGATCATGCCTGGAATAACAGCTATGTGTACACTCGCAAGGAAGTAAGAGTGCTTTCAAGGGTCCTGGGTAGATTCTTCAAAGGACATTTCTCAGGGCAATATATGTGAACCAACTGCACCCCAGTCTCCTGGAGTTTCCTACACAGAGCTTTATGTAGGAACGTATGCTATTAGTATTGATATTAATGCTCTACCATATAGCTAGCTAGCAAGCTAATAGAAAGTATTAACAATTAGAAGTAAAATCAGGTCAGGGCAGGAAGTGTAGGCACCGACAGCTCTGTGTAAAGAGCCTAGGACCAAAGCTCATTAAATTTTATACAAACTTTTCCTCCTACGTGTTTTCAATGTTCGTTTCCTTTTGCCTAACCTTTAACTCCTGTTTACTGTTAAAAGGTGAAGCCTGCAACAGAAACTCAGCCCTGAAGTAAATTCTCCCCCCCCCAAAAACCCAAAAAAAAGACAAAGACAAGAGAGAGAAGTTTGTCTTGTCCACATTTGCAATGAAACCCAACAACTGCAACCTTTCAGTGGTGTGGCTGGGCCCCATCCTTATGTCCTGCTGCCATAAACAAAGCTTCAGAGCAGACATCTTCACACAGAAGCATTAACAAAGCTGATTTGGTAAAGTGGTGGGAATAGGAGTAGCTTGAGGAACGCTTGAGTGTTGCTGGTGGTTTGGAGGTGACTGTGCTTCCCTGGCAAAGGGAGGTTGAACAGTCACAGCCTTTGCAGCATAGGTCATGGACAGCTAGGAAAGTCTTGCTTACATGGGGAAGTCTGAGCTGGGATAATGAGTAACACTCTAGTAGCAGAGACAGTAGTAAGAAAGCAGCCAGACCAGGGACGCTTTCTTCACTCAGAGAAATGGGTAATCTGGGGAAGATGAGTTATTTCTCAAGGAATGAGGATTTGCCTAAGAAAGTGTGAGAGCCTGGTACATACTCCCAGTCGAACAGAGACCTGGCTTTGTAAGCCCCCGCAGAACATCATACAATGCAACTTCTGTCCAGGGACTGGAAGCTGTCCACGTTCATTGGACCTCAGCTAATAAGCGCTGGCTTGCGCAAAACCAGATCAAGTACTTCTGCTCTACTTATACAGACGTGCCTCACCTCCCTAGTGATCAGCTCTACACATTTCTTTAGTGGTCATACATGCCCCTGCCCCCAGTGAGCACCTGCTGGAAAATGAGCAGTGGAACAGATGGTTTCTGATTTCACCAGCACAACTGAGGTTTTTTGGCAGAGAGAGGAAGTAAGCATCGAAAACAGACTGAGAAAGAAATATCCGTGCACGAACACAGGGAGTGGCAAGGGTCACTGAGCAGGAGGAGCTGGAGCAGTTGCAGGGAGGAGAGGCATCGCTTTTGCAATGGAAGCATCTCTGAAGAGTGGGGATGTATCGGTTTGTAGGCAATGAGTACAGAGACTGCACAGTGCCACAGTCTTTTCCTGTAATCATTCATATCAGCCTTGTTGGGGCTAGGAGGGGAGGTCGAGAGGGACAATGGAGAAGACTGTCTCCTAACATACTTCCTAGGATGATTCTGAGTAGCTGACAGTGGCCCTCACCTCTTCCTTCTCCCCTTTGCTTCTTTGCTGGCTGGGACCTTCTAAGGTGCATACTGAAACTGGAAATGCACTATAACGTCCCAGTCATAAATCCTTCCTCTCCTTTAAAGTCAACATATTGCTAGAGTGACAGCACTGCTTGGATGTCAACCACTGAGGTATCTGCAAGGAAATGGAAGATCCTCAAAGAATAAGAAAACCATTACCATTTCGCTGGTATCGCTGATCACCAGGAGATGAGCTCCCTGTGCCCAGCAGGATTCCTGGCTGGAAAGCCAGTCCTTCTTCTCCTTGGAGAAGGAGTAGCAGCTCCCTCTGTAGGCTATCCACTGCTCAGGGCAGCGTGGGTGGGAGTCACCTGTAAAGGAATCAAAATACCAGCTTTTCTCTACCATTAGCCAACAGAAAGACACTTGTCAGCAAGGACCTGCTGAAAAGCAACTCTTCCGGATAGTTACAATGCAGAAAACATAAGTGAGGTTAAGCATCTAAAAATAACAATGCATGAACACTGAACTTCAGATCCTCTGTGCAATTTCCAAATCTTCATACAAGAGTCACATGCACTCTGATGCTGGTACAACCCCCTCCCTGGGTTTCCTGTGAACTACTCAGATACCTGAGAACCAAAATTGCCTATCTGAAAGCAGATGACATTCTGGGTGTGCAAAAAGTAAGGGAAAAAATTACATCATTCTGTGGGTATGGTGTGATCATGTCACACATCAGGTGAACAGATTTTAAGCAGCAAACAGAAGACTCTCCCACATGGTCTAGCACCTTCTGCATACATGCAAAAGTGTTCTAGACCTTGCATATTTGTCCTACAGTTTACCACTATAATTACAGCAAGCAAGTCTACAAAAACTTTTCAGTATGTTTCAGTGCTCTTTGCCACAGGATCTGAAATGGGTTGCCTGGGGTCTGCACAAGGAATATATTCTTCAAAATATTCTGGATAGGCAGTGGGTACTTAAGGCTGGTAGAAACCTAGAACAGCTTCTGGTTTAACCCAATATAATGGAGTTCAGGATCTGAGCTCCTGTGCGTAGATGAATCTCCGGTCCTTTGCTGTTGGTTGCTCAGCCTCAGCACCCCTTTCTGCACTTACTCATCTTCCAAAACAAAGCGATCGCTAGGGAGATGCTCAGTAGCCCAAAGGCTATAGCCAAGCCTGGCACAACAGCTGGCCATAGACAGGGAGCTGTAAAAGAGAAAAGAAACCATAGTGAACAGGAGCCACATGAAAACTGACAGTGGTTTTACGTAGTTTGCTTGTGTCCTGGGCATTTCCATAAGGAACTGAACTATTAGAGCATCCCTGTCTGTCTACATTCGGCACGTCACTGCCATCACTGTCCCTGCCCAGCAGCGTCCCTGAGGCCTCCCCACGCCCCTGCCCACCGGCCCAGGGCCCCATTTCAGCTCAGCCCGGAGCCATCAGTCCCTGTCCGAGCTTCCCAGGAGGTGTACCTATCTCCAGGTCAGCCACAGCTCTGCCCCCGTGGGGCCACAGAGCCAGCTGGTCCAGCCCCTGCAGTGGCTGACTCCAGGAGACAAAGCACCTGCCCCAAGTTGGCCGGGAGCCCCCCAGGCACAATGTGACACCTCACGCTGGCAGAAGCCTCCCAGCAAACCCACTCCTGCGTCAGCGTTGAAGCTCGGGGTGGAAACGCAGAGCTGCACTGCTACAGCCACCGTGTTCCAGCCTAAATGCAAAAAGAAACCCAAGGCCTTTCCCCCAGCTCTCTCAGCAACAGTGACAGGTTTAACCTCAGCATCCTGTTCACAGTCTTAGACACACGGTCGTGTTACATCTTCCCAGGATGCTGCCAAGTCAGTCCTACGCTCTCATCCGCCTCTCCGATGGCAGGGTGGCAGGATGGGGAGGGCCAGCCTTGAAGACTTTGGGATGCCCCTCCACATTTTCACCACCACCACCCGCTGTTCACTTGCTGCCAGTGGCAGAGAGTGACTCTTTGGGGCTGCCTCCACCTTAGCCCAGCACAGCTTCCTTTCAAAGGGTGGGGCAGGACTGCCATGTAGAGGTCTGCTCATGTACAGCACGACCCGTCAGCCTCCAGGCTACACCTTGCTTTCCCATTGTCACCCGTCAGCCTCCAGGCTACACCTTGCTTTCCCATTGTCGTCTCCTGGAGCTGAGAGGCATTCACTTTCCATAAGCTGTTTGAAATCTCAGCACTGAAATCTCCTCTCTCCCAGGTTGAGGAGAGGATGACACTTACTGCCACGGATAAGTTCCAGGGGGGTTTGGTTTGCTTGTTTTATTAATCTCAGTATGACAGCTGCATAGACAATAGGACTTTCTAAGAAGCACTAAATGTGCAGCTAATGGTTACCAATGTTGAGGAACCCAGGATTTCCCTGTGCTTCTCCCATAAGCTTATGTACCATATCCTGCTCTTGTGGTGCTCCAGAGTCTTCTACCCAAATCCCGCGGCAAAGTCCCTGGTGGAGCTCATGAAATCTGAGGTGATTATTTCTCAGTCGTGTCACAAGACCCAAAGAAATATATCTGTACTCCCTAAAAAGGCTAGGAGTCTAAGGAGTAAGATGGAGGGAGGGGAAGGATAGCTTTAACCAAAGACACTACCACAGCAAGTACATCAAAAACTTGGTAGAAGAAGGGCTGTGAGTAGGATGTCGTAGCAATAGGATACAAAATACACAAGGAAGACAGAGGGGGCTGTTCTCTGCTCAAGTAAAATTACAGTCAGATTAGGTTAAATAACTAACTGCGTCAAGAGGCAACAGTAACAGCAACCCACAGACCAGGCAAATACTACTAAATGCATCAGGTTGGAATTATATGCCAGACAAGGATGGTGACAGCACTCATGAACCTGCAAAAAGAACCAGAGCAACCATGAAGGAAGCACAGTGACAATGACAGGCATCAATTAATCGCATTAAATTAAGCAAATGCCATGTCAGGGCATGATGCTGAGACTCAATGCTTAGACACTGTCAATAGGCACCTTGCAGAGCAGCGAGCTGGGAGACACAGAAAGCGAAGCAGCTCATGACTGCCCTGAGCCGTGCTCAGGCCACCCGGCTCACCATGGCTCCATCCAGCAGCTTCTCTGCTGCAGTGAACACAAATGCACTGAGATTCAACAGAGCCAAAAACCACCACCACCACCAAGAACAACAAAAGGCACTGTGGTATAATAATTTCAGAATGGGAAACTACAGGAAAATGAGGTAGTTTGTCAGAGAGAAATTAAAAGGGATGGCTAAAAGAATAAAATATTTGTAAGCGGTAGGGGAGACTTTTTTTAGGATCTCTTGGTGGAGGCTGAAAACAAATGCACATCACGTATCAAGAATATTGTGGGAAGGAGAAAGAAAGCCAGCACTAAAACAGAAGGGGAACGGACTTCACTTAAAAACAAGAACGCATCCTTTAAGCATTGGAAGCTTTGTCCAAATACAGAAAGTAGACCAGATCAATAAATTAATAAAAAATAATTTATTTTTATCTTAGGTTTGCAGGCTCACTGGTTTTAAGATCAGTTTCTGGTTTATAGCAATATATTTAGACCTGTGGTTTTGGCTAAAAGAAGTTTCTAAGGTAACAAGGGTGAGCATGAGGGAGCTTTGTTGTAGGCATCATTCTTCTGGTAGAAAGATCTTTCCAAAGGTAAAGGTTTTGTTGTGTTTCCTGAAACTGGCAGGATCTTCTAGCTGCCCCACTTGTAGTTAAAAAATTCCAACATTTATTTATTTTTTAAATCATTATTAAAGAACAAAAACCCATCTCTTTTCAGTTACAAAATACAGAAAGACTTTTCAGTTACAACCTACTCCTCAGCTACACGCAAGAGGACTTTGGGAGAACTGAAGGACTTGAACTGGGTAGCTGTTCTCTCTGCCTGCTTGCTATTCCTCTTGTAAGGACACCTTTGTATCTCTGGTGACATAGGTTTTGCCATCAGATTAAGTCGCAAGAGAATGGAGTCAGCCCGAGGTTAAGGGGTAGGGTGGAGCTTCTTCTCTGCAGATGACAACTGAAAACTAAGTAAGAGGGGATCTGTTGAAACATAATTCTTTGTTCTGAGGCCACATTTCTGAGGATTTGCACTTCTGTTTTCCTTCCTCTCTTGCCCCCCAAAGAAGCTATCTCCTGCATCCTCCAGATCACTATTCCAGATTTTAGGGAAAACTACTTCCAGGACAAGGAAACTGGGATGACAGTCAATGAAACAGTTAATCCTTAAATGTCAGCACCGGGCATCCCAGCTGGTGCCTCCTGGCAATGAATAGAGCAGTTCACCCTCTATTGTTTCAAACCAACTGCAGAAAAAAGGAACTGACTCGACTCAGCATCAAAACAAAATCCCAGGGCACCTCCACAACCAAAGCAGTGGGAGAGTTCACTTCAGTTCTTAGAAATGAAAAAGTATGCCGTTAGATAATTCTGGGAGGAATAAAGAGAGTGAAGAGGGCAAGTCATATTGAAGCATTCAAGGTGAATTTGAGCCTCACTTGAACTGCAGTGATCAACCCAGGGAAGTGGCATAAAAAACCTTCATAAATCAGGATTTCTACCCCTTGCAAAAGGGAGTCCCTGCAGTTCCCCCTTTTTAAAACAGGTTCAGGGGTTTGCGCTTGATCCTCAGCCCCTGGAGTACTTCTGAAGCTCTTGTAGAAAAGGAAGGGAGAAGTACCTGGGATGAGTTTGAAACCGAGGAGGGAAATCTGAATGGAGCATCCAGAAATATTTCCATGTGGTTGTCTGAGGAACTGTGGAAGAGTCTCCCCAAGAGAAGGGAGAAGTGGACTGGTGGACATTTAACGTAAATATCCAATGTTATAACTTTCTAGCATACAAAACACCCAGTTAGGTCTGTCAGTGCTCTGGAGAAATGACTGTGATACGCTGCATTCATCTGCAAGCAACATGACCCAATATTTTTAGGTTTGGGAGTCCAGATTCAGTTCAAAAACTGAAAGCTGTTAGCACTTTATAATTCAAGTCTTCTAGGACAATTTGAAGAATGTCATTGCACTGTCCCAAATAGCTCCCCTCAGCTCCTGCCTACGTCAGTATGGGAGCAGCACGACTACCTAGGGCAGAGGAGGAGGATTTGAGAAACAAGGATTCTGTCCTTGGCTATGGCACAGACCTGGTTATGGCTGTTACTACAAGCATGCCACACAGGCTAAGACTGTCTTAAGTGACTGCTGGACTGACATTTTGGTAGTGTGGCATATCTAAGGCTCTCTGGAAGCCAAACAGAAGACAGCCAGGGCAACTCTTCATTTTCAAGAAGTCCGTGGGAGCCAAAAACAGTTGGTTTGACCAGAAGACTGATCTATACACCTGTGGTATACCTGTGATACTGCATCATAGGGATGACTTGGTAGCAAGGGTGTGCATTTGAAAACAGAGATGAAATACCTGAAAGCACATCTCTCAAAAGTGATGGAGACAGGGACAGAGTTGAAAATAAAGATCTTCTAAAGAAAGGTACTTAAACTGCACTCCTTAGGGACTCCTCGTATGCAGAAGAGAGCTGAGAAATAATCAAATAATATGCTCAGAAAGTGTGTTCAAAGTTCAGCTTCCTTATTTTAGGCCCTCTGACTTCAGCTCAAAAAGATGAGGATACATAAAGGAATTTGGAGAGGAGGAATATTAAAAAGAAAACTGCAAACTTCTCAAGAGGGCACAGGGTAATCTCCACCTCCAACAGGGTGGGAGTGGACACAAATGGCAGGGAATGAAGGGATGTCCCTGTGTTTTCTGATGTAACAGAAACATCATTTCTGATGAAAACACATGCAAAAGCAAGGCTGCCTTCCAAGGAGATGGAGTGTGACTACCAGATAGGAGCCTGGGGGTTTCTGCGCAGTGATGTTTCCATAGCGCAGCAAGTGACCAGGCAGCAGTAACAACCACAGATGTATGCAGTTATTCTGATCAGGGCACAGAAATCTCATATCCCAGAGCAAGAGCCCCCTTTGCCGTAACAGCTCTGAAAAAAGCTAAGGTCAACCATTAGTGTTGCAGCCAATGCAACACAAGTCATCTAAAGCACACAGGCATTGAAGAGGAAAAGCAATCAGCTCATGGGAAGGAGATGCTTGTAAAGAATGATCATCAACGCAAAATCTCACTCTTCTAAGGCGGTATTTCTCAACTAAGCAGCCAGAGAACTTGCTCAGTGTGACATTCGCAAGGCCTGAACAGGGGGAATGGAGCGGAAATAAGGGAAGAGAAAATTTAAGGAAAGCACTAAGAAAATCTTCCTGGTAGTAAAATGCCCTGCAGAACTCTCTCAAGGCAAAAGCTGAAAATTTGCTCACTGGGAGGTATGTAAAACTAGAACAGAGAAAACACAGGAAAAAATGTATCACAAAAGAATCCTGCAGAGCCCCATGGGAGAGAGAATGGATGATCTCATATGCCTCCTCTGTCTCTGATCTCTGATTAGCATACGCTTCTAATTTATCTGTACTCGCATCTCGCCTGCCCTTCAAAGAACTATTGCTGACAATCTCTTATTGCTGACAAGCAGACAACTTTAAAACTGCAAACCTCTTTCGGAGAAAAGGATGCCTGGGTTGAATGCCCAGGAGTAAACACCGAAAGGGTCTGACGGAGAGAGGGAGGAAAACAATGCTGGATTTCTGACCCATCGGCTTTTATCACAGCAAAACGCTCACGGTAATTTTAGAGCAAAAGCAACAGCACCGTGAGCTGGTACGCAAAGTCAGTGCCCAGCTCAGAGTGTTTTTGTTAGAACTTGCTTTCGCTTGAAATAAAGTCTTTTGTTGACCTACCTCATCCAGCTTCCTTACCTCTCCTTTCCCATCCAGCTTTGGCCCTCGGCGGTGGAGTCTGAGAGAATTTGACAGAAGTATAAATTATTTCCTCACTTGCTTCAGCTGCAGAAGTTTCTGATCTGCTTCCCTCCATGCCAAAGCAGAGCATATGACAAGATGTTTCGATCAGGCTGTTGAGCGACAGGGCTGTGAAACAGGAAACCTGAGGCTACATTCAGAAGACAAGAAATGTGAAGTTGCAACCTCTATCTCCAGCTGCTCAAAATAACCAAATTTACAACAGAATGGAGAGCAGTGGAAGTGCAACAACTTCCATTTCCTAACCTGATGAGGGATGTCTTAAGAACAGCAGTTAGTGGAAGAGGTGATTAATCACAAAGTTCATGGGTATTCTAATTGTTGCCAATGCAAGAGGCGGTGATTACACCGACATAGTAATTGTGAGAATGTGTGTCACTCTGAAGAGCTCCCTCTCAGGACAGAAGCAGGTAGAATAGCGAGAGCACAAGATGAAAAAGGTAAATAGCAAGACTACAAGGTGACAAGTGGGATAAGCAATGGCTACGGCAAACTGGCAGCCCAACTGCTGTCAAGAGGGAAGTAGAGGTGGACAGCATGGGTTTGAGAAGGAAACCTTGTGAGCTTTGGACACTTCTACTAGGAACTCTTTCTACACCCAACGCCCAGTGTGAACGTGCTTGAGACACAGGCAGGCACTGAGAGTTGGCATCCCTCAAGACCCTCTGAGTCAACATCTCAACAGCATCAGTACAAGAGAGACATGGACGTACCAGAGAGAGTCTTGTGAAGGGCTACGAAGACGATGACAGTACTGGAGCATCTCTCCTATAAGGAAAGGCTGAGAGAGCTGGGGCTGTTTAGCCTGGAGAAGAGACGTCTTGGGGAGGATCTCATTAATGTATATAAATACCTGAAGGGAGGGTACAAGAAGAGCCAGGCTCTTTTCAGTGGTGCCCGGTGACAGGACCAGAGGCAATGGGCACAAACTGAAACACAGGATGTTCCCTCTGAACATCAGGAAACACTTTTTTACTGGGAGGGTGATTGAACACAGGTTGGACAGAGAGGTTGTGGGGTCTCCCTCCATGGAGAATAGTGTGGACATGGTCCTGGGCAACTGGCTCTAGGTGGTCCTGCTTGAACAGGGGGTTGGACCAGATGACCTTGGGAGGTCCCTTCCAACCTCAACCATTCTGTGACTCTGTGGTCAGCCATAACAGGAAAGGAAAGTTTTCTTCTGAAGTAGTGAAGAGTGACCACTAATGAGAATGGTGGGGAGTACTGATGTTTCTGTCATCCTGAGAAACCTCTTAGCTGCACAGTTGGCTGTTTTTTGTTTTGATCCAGATTCTGATCCCTTCCAGTTCATACTCAGATTGGACGTGTTTGCCAGGCTCGGGCTGTACATCTTCCCCACCGGTACAGTTCATTTACAAGAATTGCCTGGGCATTCTCAACAAAGGAGCTTGCCATGGTTTTCAGTTCTAGGACAGGGATGATTGCTCCCCGTCCTGGTGACATGCTGTAAATTTGAGAAGTGATTGCCCTGGAGGATGCTTAGTTTGATACAGAGTGTTGTGGCCAATTTGTTACAATACACAGGTCTGGGAAGGCACGGATTGGATATTTCTGCAAATTCCTCCATCACATACTTGCCTCTAAGAGTGGCACATTGCACCCACAAGACTCCTTCCATACCTGGGTAGGGCCTGTAGACAGCAAGACGGGGAGTCTGTACTTGAAAGGAAGGGGAAGGCGGAAGGCGGAAGGCAGAAGACAGCAGAGCGACGCAAGAGGAAGAAAGTCTCTCCTGAATACTAATTCGGAGAGACTGAATATTCGAACGAATATTGAAGTCTAAAGACAGCTGTCAAGCCCAGAGAGGGAGAATTTGCTGTAGTCATGATGAGACCTTAGTTGGGAATGTAATCTGTGTGGCCGGAAAGAAACCAGCAAGATTCAGACACTGCTTAAGTGCCCAGACCAAAGGGAAAAGGTTGCGGCCAAAGGCACTCCAGGCTGCCTGCAGGGCCAGTGTGATCATGAAGATGGTGTAATTTGTCAACAAGTGGAGAAGTGAAGGCTGGCAGGGAAGAATGAAGAGCTCTGTTTTGATGTTGATGGGTCTGTTTTGACCATTTTCTCTCAAATATCAGCAAGAAGTTGACTTCTCAGTTTGGACAGGAAATAGAGAGGAAGCGATCGCACTATAGGTGGCCATGCAGGCAACACACCGTTAATAGCTAAGTGTGGAGATAAATAAGTCTGACCTCTGCAGCTGAGATGTCTGTGCTGTATTCCCAGCGGAATCAGCAGTAGGACACAAATCACAGCAGGACTAAATCGATCAGTTTTCCAGGAGCCAGCAACACTCCCTCCCAGTTCCTCACTACTGAAGCAGCATGCCGCAGGGAAGCCTCCCAAACCCCTCTCAAACAAGTGGCTTCTCTAGCATGTCGACAAGTCCACTACATCCAGCATTTCTTTCTTAACTAAAAGATGCAAAAGCCTCAGAGCTCTGGCAAAGACCATCCATCCCTTCCAATAACAGAGCCCTGGAAAGTGGACTCTCTTACCATCACAGCAGGGGCATGACTTAAGAAGAGAAACGTTCTTTAAATATGCCAGTCTGAAATCATTTATAGCTTTATTAATCATACTTAAGATGCTCACGTCCACCAACCTTGTGCATGATCAGCTGGACCTGGAATTCCTCTGCAGTGGCAAAACCTGCCGGAGCTGGAGGAGACACCTTTATTCGCAAGTGTAACAAAACAGTATGTCGGGCGGGGGCCAAACCAGAAGGATCAAGGCCACGAACCAGTTTTATGAAGAATGGTCTCCCTTGCTTCTTTAACGAGAAGTCACTCTGGACGTGCGGGGGCGGCGACGGCCTGCTACTGCCCTCGGCAGAGGGCGCGAGGGGGAAGGCAGGCAACGGCTCCGCGG